GGGTATTAGAACTAATATTCAAAATAATAATACGTCTAATGCTAGTGAAACTGTTGAATCGCTTTCTTGGTTGCATATTTGGTTTCATGGTTATCACATCGACAGCCAGAACTTACTTTAAGGTTAGTAAGCTTTTTTTCTGAGTGAATACACTCTGTGGTCAATCATGTTTTTGTATATATAGGGTGTCTTAAAAGTCAACGTCAAACCGAAACGAACAACCCTGATTAAATGCGCGAACTTTTAATGGCACTTGCCAAGGCACTTTAGTCCATTTTTTATGGCCTTTCAAAGTCGACAAATTTCGAAAAATTTTTGATTCATAGTTTAACAAATAGTCTTCGTTCTAGAAAACTTTTTTTTTATTGCTTGGATGGGTGGACGACCTCTCAGCCCACCTGGTGTTAAGTGCTTACTGGAGCCCATGGATATCTACGACGTAAATGCGCCACCCACCTTGAGATATAAGTTCTAAGGTCTCAGTATAGTTACAACGGCTGCCCCACCCTTCAAACCGAAACGCATTACTGCTTCACGGCAGAAATAGGCAGGGTGGTGGTACCTACCCGTGCGGACTCATAAGAGTTCCTACCACCAGTACAGTACTTGGGGCAGTTGTGTCATTATTTTTGACTGTGATTCTAGAAATGTTATTTAGTGTTACGGTTCCGAAGTTTAAATGAGCAAAAGTTATAAAAATTTATCGAAAAATGGTTACAGTTTGACCAAATTATTAGGTTTTTCTTAAATGCCTATAATTTTCAAACTGCATAGAATAGATTTTTTTTTCTGATTTTTCTCATGATAGTTACAATCAATCCTGTTACCCCGTTTCGGCTTGACGTTGAGCTCTGCGACACCCTGTATATATATATATCAAAAAAGTCGTCGTGGCCTATCGGATAAGACGTCCGGTTCATTCGTGTTAAGCGATGCACCGATGTTCGAATCTCAGGCGGGTACCAATTTTTCTAATGAAATACGTACTCAACAAATGTTCACGATTGACTTCCACGGTGAAGGAATAACATCGTGTAATAAAAATGAAACCCGCAAAATTATAATTTGTGTAATTACTGGTGGTAGGACCTCTTGTGAGTCCGCGCGGGTGGGTACCACCACCCTACCTATTTTTGCCGTGAAGCAGTAATGCGTTTCGGTTTGAAGGGTGGGGCAGCCGTTGTAACTATACCTGAGACCTTAGAACTTATATCTCAAGGTGGGTGGCGCATTTACGTCGTGGATTTCTATGGGCTCCAGTAACCACTTAACACCAGGTGGACTGAGAGCTCGCCCAACCATCTAAGCAATAAAAAAAAAATTTTTTGAACTCGCAATAATGGATAAGTAATCTTTTTGAATTTTATTAGTGAAATATTTTTTCAGAAAAGCTCACAGCACATGAATACCTCCTTTTGTGAGACATGAGTTCGTAATTTAACGTGTTTGAGAAGCTTATATTTAGGTTAAGAGATTTCTAAGTTATTATTTATGTATAAGCCATTACTTATTCTTGAATTTATTTCCAAACTAATATGTTAATTAATTAATTAATTAAATAATTAATAAAATTATTATTTAAGAAGAAGAAAGAAAGTATGTAGTAATCTATATATATAAAAATGAATTGCTGTTCGTTAGTCTCGCTAAAACTCGAGAACGGCTGGACCGGTTTGGCTAATTTTGGTCTTGAATTATTTGTGGAAGTCCAGAGAAGGTTTAAAAGGTGAATAAATATGAAAATGCTCGGAATTATATAAAAACAAACAACTTTGTTTTTCCTTTGATGTGTCCCCCGTCGAACGAATTCCTTTTATTTGTTTTAAGTTTATTTTATACAAAATTTTAGGTCTTTTATTTATCGATTGAGGCACTACGAAGTCAGCCGGGTCAGCTAGTAAATAAAAAAAAGCTATAACATCTATACTATTATATAAATCTACAGTAGTTTTTACGGATTTTCCGTTATAACTACTGAACCATCCGGTTGACTTGAAACTTGGTATCCATGTAGAAAATACATGTACTTAATAGATAGGCTAATATTTATATGAGTGTTAGACTCCTTAATAATAATGACAATAAATAATAATGTTAATTTTAAATGCCCAGCGAAGCGGACGAGTACAGCTAGTATTTGATAAATCTGTGACAGTTGACTCGTCAACGGCTCTGTCTGTCACACAGCTTAATATGTACATACATAAAACAAAATGGGAGGCGTGAAAGCATGCTCGGCGATAACGAACTTATAATATTAATCGTAACACGTGCAATGTGTAATGTGTTTGATAAAACGGGAATGTGGGGTGTTTGTGGATGTTCAGGGCTGGTGCGATGAAAATAATTAAATTATGGCACTGGCCTACTTATTATGGCCAATTGACTTGTTGCTAACCATTAAAAAAAAACATAGTTGTACTAATTAAATAATCTGTGGTCTGGATTTTTAGACTATTACAGAATATTAAAGGGAATACTTATTTCGTCTATTAGGGAATACTTATTTAGTTTAAAGAAAGTATTAATTTGCTGAAATAATTTATAAAACATACACCTATTTTCAAGATCTTGTTTTCATTCATGAATGCTACGAAACTATTTGCAAATAGTAAAAAAACGTGTGGCACTCAGGAACTGCCGCGGTAAAGCTATTGCATAGCATTTTTTATCAACTTATGCAATTATAATTAGACAATGATAATTTAATATTAAAACAATAATAAAACAAGACCACGCTATATTAAACATTAATAAAAGCAAAACATTAACTGTCCCCTAACTCATAAGCTAGACCGCGCGAGTGAGAGATGGGCAGACTTTTCATGATGCGCGTGCAGTGTGACGTCACGCCACGCGCTTATTCACAAACACTACACAAGCGCAATGTGTGAATGTGTTGAACGCGAGCTACATGGTAGGCGGAGTGAGGGGTGTTAGGTTTTTTTCGTTACGGAATTTCATGATTCGGTCGCCGCACTCAAGGCCCGCGATAAAAGCTATGCAATAGCTTTTTTTTTAAGAGATTTTATAACCTGGTAACTAAGACCTTTAAGTCATGTCTTATTTTAATTTATATTATTCATATTTTTATGAAAAATGATATTATGGAGTGAAATGAAATGATGATGATTAATTTGAGACACTAATCAACTGGGACGAAATGAAATGAAATGAATTGAGATGATATGGGATGAAATATAATCTTAGTAAAATGGTGGTCATTTACTAAGATTTTTTCAGTGGACTTTTTGGAGGATCCCAAGAAGTTACGTCCAGCGGCTTTGTTTCATTTTCCCACATTTGTGCACTTTCACAGATATTAAACAGTTAATAAACCACCATTATTACACATTTAAACCCGAAGAAACACTAAATAGACAAAATAAAACAAATCACACAACTTCACTCCCCGCGTTCCCGCCAAAAAGTCCGCAACACAGCTAATACAAAATATAGCACAGATTAATTTTATGAAATTTTTAAAAAGTTCTGTAACACAGTTATTAAATTCGTTCAGCCTAATGAACAGCCCTAAAAGTGACACATGTTAATCAGTTTTGTCGATTCATTTTAATGGTACTAATTTATAATAAACACGATGTCACTGTGTTTGAACATTACGAGTTAATTGGCGCAATCTGTTTACATATATGGTTTTTACGTTTATTCAAACAGATTGACTTAGTCGATCGATTGCAATAATAATTATTTCTCTTCTCGATTTTGTTTTTATATGTAATATTCGATGCGCTGCTTCCAAGTGTAGGTTTGCAAATCAAAACTCTTTTTTGTTACGTGTCAAATATACAAAGATATTATTTATGGATTTCTTCTTAATTCTTTTTACTTTTGTAATAAGACGTTGGCTTTTGTTAAATTTAATGGTCCTTAACTACCATCATTATCTACCTACATCTACGTTTATCTACCATCATTATCCAGCAGTGAAGGAATTTGTTTTTATGAAAAAAAACCGCACTAATTCTTAAATTAATTAAATTTCCGGGTCGGGGTAATCGTCGAAGTACTAAAAATGTCGATCGTGAAACAAATAAAACAAGATTGCCTCTTACGCAATCGTATTTCAATCACACGCGGAAAGCTTCTGATATCAGATAGCGATTGACCAATCACAAAGGCGGTCTGGTCTACTCGAATAAAAATCTTCTTAAACAAATTTTAAAACCGTAACGCACTTAAAACAAAACATTTCAAAGGCGATTCCCTCTCGAACATTCGATTTAATTGTTTCCCGTTTCACAAATGAAGACATTCCGGGTTGTCCTTAAAGGAGGCGGCTGATAAAACACACGCCGAACCCTTTAATGGACTTTTAACATCCGATTTTAAGTTGTGTTTGCTCGGAGGCAATGCGGGGGCGCTAAACTCCGTAAATATTTAAATGTTTTCTTATTGATTGTTTGAATTGGCTGTGAAAGAGGGAAAAGCGCAAACGACATGAATAAAAAAAATCTGTTATTATTGAACAAGCTAATTTAATACTACAGGCTATAATATTACAAAATAAAAAATAGATTTTTATTAGACTTTTTTCCTACCTAAGCTGATAGCCTTGAGAGGCTATATCAGCGTCGCCTTAACTAGTAGGTGAGCTCACGGAGCTCAAACATGAGGACGTTGCTAACACGAACCCTAGCAAGAGCCGTGCTTCGCAGAATCTACCACCGGATCAGAAACGCGACCCACTGAGAAGATCCGACGAGAAACTCAGTGGGCTGTGTCTGTGGGTTAATTTACTCGTCGAGCCCCTTGCCGCAACCGACGGATTCGACGAACGATGACCGGTGCTTGAGATACCTAAATAAAAGCACCGTTAGTGGTCGGGAGGATCCGAAATGACATGTTTGGGGTGACTCGACTGCTTTCCATTATTTTTATTAGAGCGACAACGCTAACGTATATAATTATGTACCCAGTAATTTATTATGACTATGATTTAAAAAAACGATCTCAAAATGCCACCTTTTGCTTTTCAGATTATCAAGCGAAGTCAATCCAAGTCCTTGCGAGTCTGAGTCGACTTCAAATTCCCCGCCATCTCTACTGCAAGATGCTACGCTACCCGCGCTTTTAGTCTCTGGAACGTCGACGTTGTTGCAAACCACGGCGACACCAAACACATCCAATACCGTCGACAGCTTATGCTTGCCTGGTAATTCGGAAGTCGATAGCTGCGGAATAGTCAACGGATGCGCAACAACTACAACTTTAGGCGGTCTCGCGCTGCCTTTGACGTCATCGGGCGGTCTGTGTGCCACCTCCTCGTCCTCCGCGGTCGCCTGGTTAATGAATGACGACAGCACCGGTGAGTAAAGTTACTCTTTCGATTTCTGTTTTCCTGGTAGTATTTGAGAAAAAAAAATGTAATATTTTTTTCATTAATTAATTAATTAAGCGGAGCAATCTGGAATAAAGGGATTGCCTAGATTTTAGACTATTTCTTAAATATATATTTCATGGAGAAGCTGATGGCGGACTGCGATTTAAATCAAACGAGACGGTGGCTTCCATTTGTTCAGCAAGATTCTTTAGAAGTTTCTTGGACTACTGCGCATGTCGATTAAGCTTAAACATTCTACAAAGTAGAAATCAACAAACTTATTTTGTTTTCTCACTGCCGCTTAGGAGGATGAAAATCCTTATCTCTTGGGCCTTGAATTGTAGGTTCGTTTAGACATTATCTAGTGTATTATCTTTTTATATTCCAAGAGGTGTATTAATTTTTTTTTTATTTTACACAGAAGTAGAGTAAGTACTCTTAAGCGATATAAAACAGTAGATTCCTCATGAGCATGTACTAATTGTATCATAAAGAATTATCTATAATAAATAGTACTCTGTATACAGCGTATGAGATACTTTTGAAAGCGTAATCTTGACATCTACCAATAATTGCTCTGAAACCACACTCAAATCTGGCCAGTAATTCAGCAAATAACCAGACTGCTACCTCTAGACAGAACGCGCCAAACAAGTCGTCTAGTATTGTCAAAGTCAGGCGGCGGCTTGTCTCTGCTCTTTGCATTGATGACGATCATGAGCGACAATAACCCATAATAATACACAATAACCACTCACCAACATGTGGGCCGTATGCCCGTCTGCCTACAAAGGCAATAAAAAAATCCTTGCTCAAAAGAACATCAGGATTGGAATTAGCATTAATGGAGCAGTTTTAGGGAGTGAGATTTGCCTCAATGTGTGCGGTTATCAAAAACAATGACAATTTTACCATTTTACTGGTGATAGGGTGATAGGATCTTGAGTCCGCACGGATAGGTACCACCAGCCTGCCTATTTCTACCGTGAAGCGGTAACGCATTTCAGTTTGAAGAATGGGGCAGCCGTTGTACTGTTAAAATTGAGACTTAGAACTTATGTCTCGAGGTAGGTGGTGGCATTTACGTCGTAAGTGTCTATGGGCTCCGGTAACCACTTAACACCAGGTGGGCCGTGAGCTCATTACCCCACCTAATCAATTATAAAAACAAAAAAACAAAGAGATCTTTTAGACAAGAAATGACTGATAGAATAAAAAAGTATTTTTTCATTAATATCTAAGTACTACAATCTATCAATGTTCTTTATTTTACTTAGCTATATTCTATTCCTCTGTGTTCTGTTTTTTTTTTTACATAGCTTGTGGTCTTTTTGCCAGGCGGCGTAAAAAGCGAGGTGCGGAGTCCGGGGCTTTGCGAGGCAGACGTGGCGCTGTACGGGGAAACGCTACCATACGACCAGACCGCGCTGCCGTACCAATACTACAATAGGTATGATGCATTGTTTTTTTGAAGTGAAAACTTCTTTAGAATCGTTGTGATTTCAAACCGGATGCAACGAAAAAAACGACAGGTAAGAGACACAAATACAAAAATGTGTAGGATCAAGCCAGCAAAGAATGAGACAGAAATATACATACTATTTAATACAGCGCCATCTGTGAGATTTTTTAATACTAACGTGTGTATGAAAGCTCTTGTAGTGAATTTTAATTTAAGATTATACGTGAAATTAAAATATCAATTCACAGAGGGCGCTACCTTACAATTATTTACTAATGACAAAATTTTACATATACTTAAGACGTTTAGGATATTTGTATTTTAATTTTGAAAGGTTTCACTTCTACCACGTGTGAATTGCACACATTTTGTTCTTTTTATTTTATTTTCTGACATTGGACCGAACCTCCTACGAGATATCCGCGTCTAGGAGACACGTGGGATATGATGTATTACTAACTTAACCCATGCTGTCTCCTGAAATACGACAAATCTCAACATTTCTACTAACATAGCTTGTTACTCTTTTATTTTACCGTACCAATTCTCTAAGTGTGTAATAATTTGAAAATCAAGAACCAAGTAACAAGAATCAAACTCGCAAAAAGCATATTTATTCACTTTACAATATTGAGACGTAGAATCAGGTCCCTATGTTGGTAGTGGCATAGTGCTGTGATATCTATAGACTCCTGTAACCACGGTGTTAGTTACATTCAATAATTGTAAATCCATTGCATTAACTTACTTGCACAAATAAATAAATCAATAAAAACTATAGATTATACAAAGATTATATACATTTACATTTTACCTATTCTTTGCAACACCGGAAGACATCGCTCATTGCTCCAATAGTAAATTCTAATAGTACAATCATCTCAGTAAATGAGTAATTAATCTTGATTGAGGCCAGATGTTTGTTTCTGCCGCATTAACCGGGGTCAACGAACCGTGGATTTGGCGGAAGCCTCAAAAGGACAATGTCTTAAATAAGACAGGCCGTACTACTGTAGTGTCCAGGGCCGTATTACAGTGCGGTATGTGGACGTAATGAAATAGATTAAACAGTTCAAAACTAAGCTATTCAATTTACGGCCTCTGTCTAAAAACTCAATTTTGATTAACTGCAAAATCTCATATATATTTTATTGCTTAGATGCGTGGACGAGCTCACAGCCCACCTGGCGTTCAGTGTTTACTGGAGCCCATAGAGATCTACAATGTAAATGCGCTACCCACCTTGAGATATATGTTCTATAGAGATATCTCTATGAGATATGTGTACCTACCCGTGCAGACTCACAAGAGGTCCTACCACCAGTAAAAAAATAGAAATAGCCTTCGTACTCCCGTACGACCCGTCGAAAGGAAAATGGTAACCGCCGCCATTATAGTTACGCACCTATCATTCCAATGTTGATGAAATGTTGAGATACTAGAGGCATAGGTACCATAGGTACCAATGCCTTGTATTGCACGTGCTTCTGGCGTTCAAAACTTCAAAACTAAATTCAAATGACTCTCCTTAAATTTGTTGACGCTTTACCTCCATTTGTGGAGTATAGGTTTTTAATATTCTCCTTCTTAATCATTCCAATTCTGACAGAGAGGATGTGGTCGACTTATATTATTGAAGTAGGCAGATTTGATGGGTTATCTTTCTGCTCGAGGTCATTCTGTTTAACTCATGTAAGCTACCTGCCACTTGTAGGTTTTATATACTAGCATTAACAATTCCAAATTAACATATCGATAACTTGATATCTCTAATGTCAAGTGAAATTAAAACAATATATTATTATGAGTAAGTAAGTAACAGTCGGATTTCATAGACGGCGCAACTGTAATGCTATTTGTTGTTTTTTTTAAAGCTTTTATTTATTCGACAAGCATACATGTTTGTTTGTATGTACCTAAGTACGATTTTTTTTTATTGCTTAGACGTGTGGACGAGCTCACAGCCCACCTGGTGTTAAGTGGTTACTGAAGCCCATAGACATCTACAACGTAAACTCGCCACACACCTTGAGATATAAGTTCTAAGGTCTCAGTATAGTCACAACGGCTGCCCCACCCCTCAAACCGAAACGCATTACTGCTTCACGGCAGAAATAAGCGGGATCTTTGAACGCCATTTTCGCCGACCTCAAGCAATCCGATTAAATTGAAAAATTTCACACGTATCAAGGACCGAAGATGACACAAATTTTATAGCTTCGCTCTAATATCTTGGCCAGTATCAAACAGGGTAAACAAAGATGAAAATAATTATTGTTAGGTTTGCTATTCAAGCGTGTGTGTGTTTTTTTTAAACTACACATATTTCCTAAGTAGATTATTCTTTCAACTGAATCAATGTCTCGAGTATGACCTATCACTGAACCACTGACTTTTGTAACACAGGTTTTCCTAGCATAAAAGTCAGGGAATATTGTTATTGTATACCTCATAAAAAAGCCATGTATATTATTATACTAGTGTTAAGAATTTTTGTACGTGTTTGTATTTTAAGAGGCTTGAATAAATATTATTATTATTATTATTATTAAAGATACTAAGAACAGTTCGCTGCCTTCTTACATCCCTGTTTCTACAACGTCGACTGTTGAGCGTAATCATTAATTAATTGGATATAATGTTTGCGTAACGTAATTTTCTGACAATTCACTTTGTTTAATAGTTTCGTTGTTTGGTTTTTTATTTACTTTTTAAGCATACGAGTGGGGTGAGTGGCTGCTGTCGCTCATAGACGTCGACAATGCCATAGTCAATCGTCCCACTTCGATAAAGCGGCACGACGCGAGAACCCTCTCATCGTGGCCGCCGGTAACTACATTCCCGATCCTGCGGAGAGAATAGAAAGCAGTCGACGTCGCCCAAAACACGTCATTTCGCATCCTCCCGATCCACTAACGGTGCTTCCAGGTACTTCAAGCACCGGTCACCGTTCTCGTCGAACCCATCGCTTGCGACGAAGGGCTCGACGAGCAAATTAACCCTCAGACACAGCCCACTGAGTTTCTCGCCGGATCTTCTCAGTGGGTCGCGTTTCCGATCCGGTGGTAGATTCTGCGAAGCACGGCTCTTGCTAGGGTTCGTGTTAGCAACGTCGTCAGGTTTGAGCCCCGTGAGCTCACCTATTAGTTAAGGTTACGCTGGAATAGCCTCTCAAGGCTACCAGCTTAGGTAGAAAAAAAAAAAATGTGTGCGTGTACTAGTGTACACACGTAAGAAGTGAAACTTGTTTATGGCCTTATTTTTCGAAAAATGATCTACATGCAACTTTCTAGAAATTGGTTAAATAAAGTTAAATTAGATAAAGTTTAAACAAAAGGATTTTATTATCATAGACATGAATACAAAAAAGTTAAATTAGATAAAGTTTAAACAAAAGGNAAAAATGTGTAGGATGAAGCCAGCAAAGAATGAGACAGAAATATACATACTATTTAATACAGCGCCATCTGTGAGATTTTTTAATACTAACGTGTGTATGAAAGCTCTTGTAGTGAATTTTAATTTAGGATTATACGTGAAATTAAAATATCAATTCACAGAAGGCGCTACCTTACAATTATTTACTAATGACAAAATTTTAGATATACTTAAGACGTTTAGGATAATTGTATTGTAATTGTACCACGTGTGAATTGCACACATGTTTTTTTACTTTTTAAGCCGACGAGTGGGGTGAGTGACTGCCGTCGCTCATAGACGTCGACAATGCCATAGTCAATCGTCTGCTTGAAGCATTCGAATTGAATATAACATTGCACAATATAACATTGCGAGCATTCGTATTATCGTCACTAGAGATTAGCCAGTAGGTGCGGGTTTATCATTTTCGTAGCGAATCGAATGTTTTACGATAAAACTATCAGTCATTATTAGAATGCGTAGTAAAAAAACAAAACAATGATTTTTTCATATCTTAATAATTCTTCATTGTAGTCTTTGTTACCGATTATCGAAATTAAATTTACTTTAGATACTAGCTTTCCGTTCCAAGCTTTATCTGTGTGGACTAAGCTTTAAATCGCGTGGGCGGAGACTTAGAGCTATGGGATGAAAGTTATCCCTAGGAGCCTAAATTAATTCTATACAAAAGTCGTCGCAGTATTCTAAATAAAACCAAAGAAAATACTATAGCTGGATTATATTTACTTAGTATTATTTTCATATCTGTGTTAACTAATTGACAAACAAATAAGTATGCAAAATTCAGCAAGTACGGTACTCCTCACCTACCTCGGGTCAATATTTCCCGCTAAAACTCAAATATTTGACATAAAATTTTAAGCGGCAAAGGAATACGTATCTTAAAGACACAACTAAGGTTTTTTGTTTTTTTGTAGCATGCAGCAGTATGGTAGCGGCAGCGCGGCTTCGTCGTACGTCAGCTCTGGTCTTTACAACCAGCCTTACGCTGCATATCCTCCACCGCACAACGCCAACAACAGGTTTGAATGTTACTAAGCTGAAACTGCACCAAAATAAGTCTTAAACGCAACGTAAATCACGCAATGTACCTTATAATATACATACAAATTACGCATATTTTTTCTACCAAACACGGAATCTTTCATCGTTGTCACTCACACTCTTCCGCTTTCCCTCTCAATATCCGCCATAGAGCCCAGGATTCGAATCTCCTTATTTCTTGTCGGTGATATTTGGGGTATAATCGCTTTTTTTCCTACCTATGCTGATAGCCTTGTGAGGCTATATCAGCGTTACCCTAGCGTGTAGGTGAGCTCTCGGAGTTCAAACCGGAGGAGTTGCTAACACTGGCCCTAGCAAGAGCAGTGCTTCGCAGATAATCGCTATCCCTGACCGGGTGTCTGTTATCTTTGCCAGTACCCGGTCTTCATCCAAAAACCCGTCGGCCCCAGATATCGTTCTACAGAATATGTCTCCACTCTAATATAAGATTTTCTTGGAGCAGATCGTCATGCAAAGCGACGCCTACATACCTCAGTGCGTACGGGATGAGTGGAGTGGGAAGTGTGCCCACTACAGGATTCGGCACTCAACCCTCGCCGTACGCATACTCTTCATACAACGGAGGACTATCGCAAACCTTCACTCCTACACAACAAGTAACTATTGTTTTTTTGGAGTTTACTCCTTTAGAATCGATTTACATATATAGGCCCGGGGTATGAAAATTATGGGGACCAAAATCGTACTAGCATGTCACACGAAATGCGTTATGCGCCTGATTGGCTCCTGATTGCGTGATGCGTGCGCGCGCCAATCAGGAGCCAACGCGCGGCCGCGTTATCGCAGGTGACGCCGGGCTGCTGCGCCGGCAGTCCGCCACAAAGCCTCGTACTGATCGCGCGTTTCTCTCATTATT